ACACAAATATTGTCGCATCAATTAAAGCCATTGTCCCAACGGTACTCAGCAATCACATCTTTTTTTCTTTCTTTCTCTCTCTGTTCAGAAAGAATTTTTCTTTATTATATTATATATATGTAGGCGTATGTGTTTTAAATAGAGATTTTAGTAATTAAATATAATAATTAAATGATTCTTTTTTATTATAAAATTATATACTATGTTAGCCTTATCCTTATATTTTAAACATTAATAATATACATTAATAATATATTAATGAATATAACATTTCATTGTATAAATACTATAAAAACAGAACTATAAATTAAAGAAATTAAGAAGCTTTATAAAAACAAGTAAATTAATCTTGGTTTATTTCCATAATAAGAAATAATTCTATGAACGATTGTAGCCAATGTTACGTATTAGGTGTTGGAATTAATTCGTAGCGTTTTACAAGTGATGGGAAGTACTTTCATTAATGTATTTTTTAATGCTCATGTGAAATAAATAACATTCTTTCATTAAAAAACGCTACGAATTAATTCCAACACCTAATACATTCTGAAAGAATTTGGCAACAGTTTGCGATTTTATCCTTAAAATCTTTTCGACAAAATTCTTTATTTCGATAAAATTTTATGGGACAATCCGTTTTATATTGAAAAAAGTTTTAGAAGTGGCGACGTAGTGAATTTTAGGCTTTACTGTATCATTCATTAAAAAATTAATGATATCACTTACTACATTTCTTGTTCCAATTAACCTAATTAAATTCAAAAAAGCTATTATATCCGCGTTAATATGTATGCCCTGTTATCTGGCTAATTTGGAATTAATTCCAATAAAAAGTCGATTTCAGTATTCGTGGGTCAACTAATCTCTCTCTTCTGCTTCGATGCCGAATAACAAACATGCCTCCCGAGTGTTTAATCGGAGCGACTCGAAAACATGAAATCGGGCCCCCCTTTCCGTAACTTTCTTTTTTTTTAAACTGCACGCGTTGGATGCGAGGCAGATGCGCCCCCGAGAGCGAACAGCTGTACGATTGTCCATTTCGTTTCCACGTCCAGTCGTTCATCCTCCGTAGGGCCCCCCAAAAGATACCGGGATAAGGATCGAAGGCTCTCCCGCGCGAGAGAAAAGAAGACGGCAAGAAATATGAAGATACGTCGACGGATAAAGATTGGGCCCCCAAAGTGGGGGGTCGGAGTGCTGGGCGGAGAGAGAGAGAGAGAGAGAAAGAGAGAGAGAGACAGGCGTCGGTGGCGGCGAGATTAGGAACGGGTGAACGGCGAAAAAGAACGAATCATGAAAGTGCCACGCGACCCACAACGGAAACATAATAAAAACTGATTGAGGATCCTTCGGAGCCGTCATCGAGGGGCAATAGCAGCGATTCGATGGCGACGACAGCGTCGATCACGGCGACGGCGATGTTGGCGGAACATCTGGCCCTCCTGGCTATCGGTAATAATCACAGTCGGAGCAGGAAATAAAATGTGCGTGCGTGATCCGTTTAACGGATATAATGTGTAACGATACACTCCAATTAGGTAGCCCTCGTTGAACTTTTTAATCATGCCGAGTTGTTCCCATGCAGTCGGCTCTGAGGATACGCAGTCGTATTGAAAGGCTGTGCTCCTTGAATCTTTTAGAAATAAAGAGTAATTAAGACTAACTGATTTATTTGTATGTGTCTAATTAGTAATAAGGCTTATAAATTTTATAAAACAAAGAAAAAAAATTTTTGGCTACGAGCCAAAAATTGTTATATAAAATAAACATGATAACAAAAAATGTAAAAACATAAAAGAAACAAAAATGTTTTAAGTTAAAAAATTGATTTATTTGTCTAAAAAAAAAAATGGTAAAAGACAATTAAGAAATTCGATCTTAATTTTACTGATCAATTTCTTTCACGAATATGGAGTTCATTTTTTCTGAAAAAAATTCCTAATGATGTTATATAAGCTCTATTAAAAACTGAGCAGCCATGAACGATATATGAACCTATTTTTTGTAAAGTTTGGAATTAATTTTATTAACAAATATATACCGATACGTTAATTCTTAAATTATAAGTGAGTAAAATAAAATTAATATTTGAAAGCGCAAGTAAATAGTAAAAAATTATTTGTTACTACTTGAAGTGATTTTATTTTATTAAGTTGAGGCTTAATTTTTTATGTATTAAACGTTAAAATTTCATGAGAATTGATAAATTTTTCTGACAATTATATTTTAAATTTGTTTCCCGCCAACATTCAGAGTTATGCTGAAGGGTATATGCTATGAAATTACTATATTGTATTGATTTTCGTTACTCGCAACTTTTTGGAATCAAAAATGCAGGCTAATTTGGATCGTGCGCAGCTACGTGGCGGCGTCGAAAAAAAGGGCTACAGCAAAATCGGCGAGTCATCGTCGGCGAATGGCCCTTTCGTATGGTCACGATCGAAAATACTCCGCCCATTCTGAGTGTCGGTACCGGACGGGCAAAGGGTTGCGTCAACAATGTGCGGCTCTCGACTTTCATTCGAGAAATCTGAAGGGAGAACTTTGTAAACGAGACTCGAACAAATAAGAGGTTCGCTCAAAAAAGCCCTGCAATCCCGTTGGCGTGAAAGTTCCGTTTGCAAATTCCCTCGTGGTATGTTTTCATAGCTATAACAATAACATTAACGATTTTATATTTATTGACACATTCGCAAAGATACCGGTTACTTGCTGTCACGAGCGATTTGTTGATTCATTACTTCGACATAATATGGGATGATCTACTGGGAATACCATACTTTCTATAAAAAGTCGGAATGTCGAAAGGCAGAAAAACTTAACAGAATCGATAGTTAGAGTTAATCGTTAATTCAATGTTCAGGAGTAGTTGTCTTATAAATATTATTACGATAAATAATGCAATAAAATTATTAAGCTTTTTATTCGAATCTAATAAAAATTATTTTTTGTATTCAGAAACTATTAAGCAATTGCGTTCTAATTTAATAATATTAAGTAATATTAATATTATTTAATATTTATAAACATATAATATATTGGATTCGAGAAAAAGTTCTGTGGAATTCTATTAGATCAAAATTATATAGAATATATTTGTTGCGAAATTTTCGACTATCTGACATGAAAACTTAAAGTTTCTCTTAAAAATTCGTTTTTAAAAAATGTTTTTTAATTCTATGATTCTTTTTGTTATCAAGTTACACGCGGATTAAATAAAGGAGCATTCTGATTGCTCATAACTCCGTTAAAAATTATTGTATCGTAATTAATAAAACAGATTCTTAAAGTTGGTACGTGGCTCTATCAAGTGGTGTAATTGCCAATTTTGAAAAAATTATAAAGTATATGTTATTGTATATAATGTATGTAATGTATGTATTAATAGAATATATGTACATTTGAGCTAAAATATGATACCACTCTTTTTTTTCATTGCGCAATGATTATAAGAATAGTAATATCACATTTTAAACTCAAATTTCTATATATTTTACATTTAAAAAATTAACATGGTATTATTCGTAGAGCAACATTTTAGCTTTAAGAATCTGTTTTTTTTTTAATTGCAGTACGATGACTTTTTAATGGAGTTATGAGCAATCAAAGTCATAATTTTTACTTAACTCGCGAATAACTCAAAAACAAAAAATCATTTTAAGAACATTTTGAAAAAAACTATTTTGTAAGGAAAACTCCAAACTTTCATATAATATATTTTCGCAATTTTTTTTTTGGCACGCGACAGATCCACAAAGTAAAAAGAAAAATTTCTCTTTTTTTCAGCTCATAGTTTTCTATGTATAAAAATTACAAAACTCCCAATTCAAAAAATATAATAATCATTTGAAAATAAAGATTTCAAACTTTAAAACCCTTTCGTTAAATTTAAATTTTGATCATTTTTAACGAAGATATTGTGTATATATAATTTTGAGCTAACAAAATATCTCAGAACTTTTCCTTCAACTCAATACATCTATATAAAATTAATATTATATTAATTCTTAAATTAAATAGATTTTTACAAATACTTGTAGAAATCCACTATCTTATCTCTGAGCTCTTAAGCTTTATATTATTGGAAAGAATATTTCATTAAGCGCAAAGTCCGACTATCGTTGATCAGATTTGCGGAAAGTCCATTTACAGATTATCCGAACGGTACGATTTTCGACAAGATTTCCGTCTATCTCGATCACAAAGTACACATTATTGGTTAAAGGGCGTTCATAATGGTTGCGTTGAATTCGGTAACCACAAAATCCTTCTGCGGTATTCATGGTACCTCCCAAGGACGGCTTCCATGATACTGTATGGACGGCAGCGAGGAGTTAGGAAAAAGTGGAGAATCGTAGGACCGTGAAATCGATTCACGGACCGATCGGGTTTTGCGATTTGCTCGCTTGACCGGCGACACGGTGACATCTGTGCCGATAGAGAGCCGATTTTCACGTATTACCGTCGCTGTTGGTCATCCGGCGAATCTTTATGGACATTAATGGGATTTCAGGACGAAAGAGAAGCCGTCCAGCTGTTCTTTCGTGGCGCGAGCAGAGTCATATGTCTTACGATATATGAAACGTTCATTTTCATAGGAGGAAAAATATATATGGGTAAAAACGGAATAAATTGTACATTGGTTTTGTAGAAAGAACCAACTGTCGATATTAAAATCTTTGGATCATTATCGCAAAATATTATAGGATATACTTACATAACGTTCTGTGGATACATCTTAATGAATAAATTAACTGTAGAAGCTTAATTACAAAAAGCTTAGCTTTAATTACAAAAAAGAATGTTATACGATTTATTTGCATCCCCGAAATGCAACAATTCTTTTTTTAATTGCGACACTTGCATAATTAGTTATATTTTAATATTTTTTTGCAAAGGAAAAATAATTCTAATTTCTAACGAAATACATAAGCCAAATTCCTATTTCGCCAAAATTCAAGTTTCTTTTCACGTAACATTAGTTTTCGTTGTATTTTCAGGTACGCGCGGGTATCGTTGAATCACTACGCATTCCACATGGATGTTCTTGAATCGCGGATTATGCGTTCGTGCGGGAGACAGCGGGGCACCCGGAGGAACCAAGGGTGCCAGCCTTGTCGCATTGTCCCGTGCGAGATGGCAATTTGTATGCTTTTGTGCTGGAACTAAGAGGACACGCCAGCTACGTTATCTGATGAGTGAGAAACTTTTCCTCGCCGACTACCACCAAGTTGCATTTGCGCAATAGCAAGTATCAGCTGCGTTTTGTGAAACGTTCGTAAAAAAATTACATATGTCTTACCTGGATTACAAAGGTTAGTTTCCGATAGTTTAAACATTAGGTTTTGTTTTAAATACATTTTTGTTTTAACTAAAAATTCGTTTTTACTTGAAGTCTTAATTCTAAAAGCAACTTTGCTGATGCTTGTAATATTGTTACTAAAAATAAGCGATATATATATATATATATTTGCTGATATTTAATGAGAAAAATGCAGTGAATATAATAATGACTATCAACATGTCTCCTATTTCGATTAATATTTACTCAGACAACATTAATCTCGAAACTATAATATTGTTATATATCTGCATTAAGATACACTATTTGTGTATACGGAAAGAAGTTAAGAAATACAGTTTCGTTGAAGTACCTTTGTTAAGTAGATACATATAGATCTGAAAATAATTTTGTTGAGCTATTAAAATGATTATTTAGAATGCTCAAACTGATTGCTGCAATGTTGAAATTGGTTGCGGAGTTCCTCATCATGCTTGAATTTTTTACATAATTATTTTGATGGTTTAACAAAATTATTTTTGTGGATTTCCCGCGCGTATCTACTTAAATTTTTAGATACTTCAGTCAAATTGTTCTTTTTTTGGTAGGATTATTAATTTAAAAAACGTATATATTACGTATATATAACATAATTAAATATTCGCAAACAACTTAGATTGTTAGTGAACAACTTAACACACCGACAATTGAATTTGGCAGTTGGAGTGACGGACTACTCAATAAACGTATCCATACGCGGTTCAACGGAAGTCGTAGGAAGGAAGGGTCGAAAAAGAGTCTCTTTTAAAGAGGCCCTTTTTCGGGGAGCAACTCGATCCACCCACCCTTCAACCCTTTTTTTCCTTCATTGAATAAAGTAAATACTTTTATGCGGCTCGAGCATCGCTTGGTGGAGACGTTCCAACGGCAAACAGCGATCCATCGATTGTGGCCTTCATATAGGCATTGAAACTTTCTTTCTGCAGGGCTCAGGTATCCGATATCTTTCGATTTTTATCCTTCGTCCTCGCACATCTACATACATGAAAATTCACGCCTCCGCAAATCGCACGTCACGCGATTCTCTTCTCAGCTCTCACGCTACATTGTCCTGTCGGGTATATTCATCGATTAATTTTAAAAAAATTAATGAACAAGAAAATTAAAATTCATATGTACGATTTAATTATTCTATTAATTTTACAGATTTATTTTATTATAATGATCTCGATAAATTATCTGGTAATTTGACATATCTATGTTAGAGATCGATTTTTACAAGCCTATATAATACATAATTACTTTGGGTAACGTGAATTTAATTAGACGTATTATTTGCATGCAAAATAAATCAGAGTTTTTGAAGTGTGAATAAATTGGGCGATTCGTTTTGGGATAACATCGATATGGTATCCAGCGCAACGTGTATACATCTGATATATATATATAAAATAATTAATGCCTGTTATTTTCACGATGCGCACATATAATGGTAGCCATAAATATCGAATGTAATATCCTCGTTGACAGAAGCACAGCCGCATATTCGTGTTGATCGATTGATTCGACGTGTATTCGGTCGAAAGTAAGAGTATTCGCGCAAGTCGAGAGAGAAAACACGGCTTCGAGAAGAGGAGAAAAATTCCTTTTCTCGTTGGTCCACTTTTTCGCGTCATCGAGAGTGAGGAGACATACACGAAATGGGTTAGCGAATCACTGGAGAAAATGATAAATTTAACGTGTCGTGTCGTATTAATATCATCTAGGAAAATCGCAGAATCCGAGGCAATATTCGGCGGAAATGTAGGATATGCTGTGTGAATTAACAGTTTAATAAATATCCAAGTCTTTGTTTAAAACACAGAATGCTTCTGTTGGCGAGAATATATTGATATGTGTATGTACATATAAAATTTATAATACATGTGTATATTTATATCTCTTAAAAACATTACTTTATCTTTCGTAGCAGCGAACTCTAAAATTGACCATAAGATCCTAAGATCCTATCATTTAATCACCCCTTTAGATCTCGAGGAAAGTAGTTCGCGCAGAACGAAGATAGATAATAAGCAATTAAAAAATTATCGCGTCATTAATGTGTGTCAAATAGCCGTGAAGATGCTTAAAGATATCAAAAATTATTAGGCGGCTGCACCGCAAGCCTATATCGCGCATTATGCTATGACATTAAGTTTAGCAATTATTAGGTGTTGGAATTAATTCGTAGCGTTTTACAAGTGATGGGAAGTACTTTCATTAATGTATTTTTTAATGTGAAATAAATAACATTCTTTCATTAAAAACGCTACGAATTAATTCCAACACCTAATAGATTGCAGATGGATAATAGAAGGACAAATAATTTTCTTTGTGGTGATTTAAAAAAATATTTTAATATAATACATTTCTTCATGCACACACATCGATATGTTCAAAACTATTGAATGTTTCAAGATCACTCGATATTTATGCATAATACCTGATGCATAATAAAAAAATATTAAAAAATGAAAATGATTAATAAGAACTCTCGCTTGTCAGTATTTACGTCTTATAAAAAAAGGTGAAATAGGTGACGATAGTTGATGATAATAGATAAAAGAAACTATTATGTAGAAAGGCTTCTTAAATATCCCCGTAATGAAATTTTCTTTTTATTGGTGGTTACTATCTCATTAAGGCGAATCTTTGCCTTCTTTCCTAAAATTTGAAAAATAACGTTGCTAAATAAAAAAAAGTTTTTTATACATTACGGAATATCGAATTATTTAGTTCTACGAATAATAATGCATAAGAGGATCTGCTTTAAAATAAAAGCGTGAAGTAAAATTACAAAGTGAGATAAATATATTTTATATAAATAACAATCTACTCGTATAAATAAGAATCTACTAGATTAAATATAAGCAAAATATCTAATATCTTTGAATATTTTTTGAAATTTTGCTTTGAAACAAAGTATATAAGACATTTGTTGCATTTTATTCACATGACGAACTAAGATTGTGTGTATTATTCGAGATTATGTTTTATAAAGGCCATTGCACGTAAAAATTTTAGTTGTAACCTAAGTTTTCTAAAAAGCGATAAATTGACTGGCAACGAGGCAAGCGATAAGTCACATGACTATCTTCCCGTTGATTGGTTATAAGGATAAGGCGTTAATCGTAATCTTTCGATGGGAAAACTTACGATTATGATCACGGCTTTGAGATTTGGCACAGGTCTTACGATTACGACTTTATTTACAATGGCCGTAAGGCATACAGGAAGAATATCGTTTAGCCGTTTTCTATATCGATGAAATAATCGCCAATAAAAAAAAATATGTCTCACTAAGAAAACATGTTTTTGACGGTGAATTCCGAAATCAAGATGCGACATGGCTCATCTTGCATAAAATATCCAAGGATCCGCGATGCCTTCGGATCAACGCCACTCCGAAAAAAGGATCCACAGGAACGAAAGAGTCGATCGATAACACCCATGCCTCTTTCTCCCCTCCTTGCTCTCTGTCTCTCTCCACCATCCGCCGAAAATTACGAGGATCCGGCTCGCTCCGGTTGCGTCAATGACCAAAGTTGGCCGGCCCGGGTCCAAGCTTTGGGCCCCGACGCAGTTCGAGCAGCCCGCGCCGGAGGCTCGCGCTGCCGCGTTCGTATTTATATAAGTGATTTTTTATTCATGCAGCTTTTTGTTCGAGAATTCCAAGAGAGGGTATCCCGTACTAGCCGATCGGCGTTACCCACCCCTCTCGTCCTCTCTGCCCTCCGATGCCACCGTCCGTCGTCCATCGTCTCCGTCGACGAGCTCGCGCGTGGAAGTGCGTGCGTGTATGTGAGGGGGCACCTGTAGTTTTTCATATACACCTGCTCCCATCGGCTTGAGTGTCTTTCTGGTATAGTTTCGGCATTTCTTCTCGCCGTGGGGATACATACATTCGGTGAGGAAGAAGTCGGTTATGGGACGCGTGCCCGGTGCAAGCTGATTGGTCGACCCGTTAAGAGAATACCGCCGAAGATATCAGCCGCGCACGCCCTGATGAAATATTTTCGCCGATTCTCCTCTCTACCTCTCCCTTTATTTCTCTGTTCTGCCGCTTTTTTTTCTTCCCCTCGCTTTGATGGATTGTAATGTCCGTCGATACTTCCGTTCGCGCCGCCTCTACCGCCGGATAATCATATATATGTTATACAGAGGGAGAATTTGCGCGCGAGGCTCTTTGCGGTCAGAATCTAACAAAATAAGATAGTCTAGAGAAAATTCTCGGAAACATGCAGAAATTGCGGGATCGATTATATTTCACCCATCATCAAGTACAGCCGATACAACCAATAATTACATACAATTTTATCTTATTTATTTTTACTATTTATGTTGGTGGATTATATTATTGCGAATGTAGCAGCTGTATATTTTAGTTATGTCAATTTCTGATATTTGCTTTGCTTCACCTTCAGATTCTTCTCGATTTCTTCTATGTTTCGTCAAAGATTGTATATAATAGCCTGTTAAATAGAATAAAATTGTCTTTAAAATATTTTTCGGATTAATGAGAGATTATCGAGACTCTTTAAGTATTTTATTATCTTTTTATGTAAAATATAAACATTTATCTTTATAATGATTCAAAATTAGTTTTATCTTTTATTTGACGAGATGTTAAAATTATCTGCTTATTGATGCGTGAATACATGTCTTTTGCGGTAAAAGGGTTAAAAAATCGTGGTATACGTGGTACTTCTCGTAAAATGTTGCCGCTCCTTTTTAAATTTAAGTCACGTACGGTTAGTACGTTGTTGTGAAACAACCGGCTGTTGCATAAAACGTGCCGTAACCATATGTTATTTTATCACATGATATCATTTCTATCGTTCTGCTTTGGTATTGGTTTTACTTGAATTTAATTAATGCGAAAATATGGGCGAAAATATCGACAAATACCGACGGAATGAATCAAATAAATGAAACGGGTGCGAATAAATTATCGAAAACGATTTGCACATACTTCTGATAAAAGCGAGATACAGTAAAAAATCATTGATGATCGATCACATGTTTATCAAGCTTGGCATTAATAAGGGCGGAGAATTTATTATTTAATGATAAAAGTTTCAGGAAACTTTTAAAACCATGTAAATGTTAAATATACAAAAATTAAGAGAATGAGATAATTCGTTAAATTTAAATCAATTTCTGGAAACTGCGTTATGTAAATTCCAACAAGTAAATTACAACGTGCAACAGACTGTAATATATTTTATCGCATTGATCTTTCATTAATGTTGGGTTTACCTTCTTCTAGTACTTTAGATATGTACTTTAGTTAATCTTTTTTAAGCAAATATCACGTCATAATGTAATTTAAGTTTGCCTGCTATTTATGTAATTGCATCAAAATCAATAATGAAAATATGAGTTCAACAAAAACTTCATTCTTAAATGTGTATTACATTATAATGAATATATTGTTTTATACATTGATTTCGATGGAAGTTATGCCTTATTATATTATTACTTTATCATCTTTGTCTTATGACATATTATCATGTGTGTGATAGAAAAAAAACTTGAGATTTAGAAAAATTAATTACTCGGTGTAATGTTACTTCTGTTACTTCACACTACAGTAATTTTAACACATTTTGTGACTTATCCTGATTTGATCTTAGCTTTAATGAAGTTTTCTTCCTTTTCTTCTTTCTTTCTTTTTCTTTCATTTCACGTTATCTTCCAAGCCTTGTTAAACTCGAGCCTCAGGGAAAGTCGAAATAAGTTAGAGAGCCTGCTTTTCGGAGTAAGAGCCATTTCTTGTAGACGTTTCTTAGATTAATGCCCGACAACAGACACGTATCTATAGACAAGATCGACGAGGTATCTACCTTGCAAAAGCAGTCTCTCGCTGATCTCTGCGACACTTTCGAACTCGTTGCCCTACGACTTTAACAAAGTAGATCTTCGTTGATAACGCAATTTATGCAAAGAAGACAAAGTTCTGCAAATTCCATGGAGTATGTTCCAAGATGTTTTGCATACCTCACAATGGAGTGAAGCAGCTTCATGCTGCGCAATTCCACAAACTTTAGGTCCAAACTTCGCGTCA